TCTAGATACTATTTCTTTTCTTTCTTTTTTTTTTTTTGCCATGGCACAAGGTGTGTTTTATTTTCATCAGACATACAAATAATTTGCTGTAATATCTCAGGGCAAACCAGAGAATTTGGCAGTCCGATTGGGGTGGGGGGCTCCTGTCAGAGACCCGCAGGCTGGTGGTGTCGGCACAGAGTGCCCGGGTTCACGGTGCAGCTTGTCGCTCATGTCCATCTTGCAGGTGGCTCTTCTTCCTCCACATCACGACTGGGGTGTCTCGAAGGTACGGGGATGGGGAATCCTCTAGGTTCTTAGGAAATTTCACTCCGCTTCTCCTGCCCAATGGTCTCCTTGGTCGGCAGGGTATTCTTCTGCGGCTCTGTTTTCTTCAGCTTGGTCTTACCGAAGCTGGCGATTTCTCCCATGTCCGGCTTGTCTGCCGTTTTCTTAAAGCGATCCGTGGAGTTCCACTCTGAGCCCAGCGCCTGGTGCTCCCACTCGTGTTGCTGCAGCAAGAGACCTCTTTTTTCTTTTTTTTAAGTAGGCTCCATGCCCAGCTTAGGGCCGTGGGGCTTGAACTCATGACCCTGAGATCGAGACCTGAGCTGAGAGCAAGAATCGGATGCTTAACCAACTGAGCCCCTCAGGCGCCCTTTCTTTTTTTTTCATGTTCGACTTGATGGGATTTCTTTCTTTCTTTTTTTTTAAGATTTTATTTATTTGTCAGCGAGAGAGAGAGCACAAGCAGGGGGAGCAGTGAGCAGGCAGAAGGAGAAGCAGACCCCCGCTGAGCAGGGAGCCCGATGCGGGGCTCGATGCCAGGACCCTGGGATCATGACCTGAGCCGAAGGCAGACGCTTAACGACTCACCCATCCAGGCGCCCCTGTAATTCTTTACTCCAGATTCTTAGGTCACTGGGTTTTTTTCAGCCTTTTCCCTTTTCTAACACACACACACATATCAAAGGTTTTACATTTCCTGTAAACCTTAGCTGCTTACCACAGTCTTGAAGTAGAAGTATTTTTCATTTTCATTCGGTTCAGATACTTTCTGATTTCCATTTTGAGTTCTTTGATTTCTACACTTAGAAATACATTGCTAAATTTCAAAACAGTTGTCTAGTTATCTTTCTGTTACTGGTTTTTACCTAAATCCCGCTAGCTCACAGGGTGTGCTCCTGTCAGTCCTTGAAATAGATTTGCTCTGTGGCCCAGCACAGGTTCAGTTTTGGTAAATGTTTCAGCTTCACTTGAGAAGAAATTCATGAAGTGCTCACTTATGGTTCATGTTCCTTGGAGCATGTCATGTGGCTTGAGGTCTTTTGACGGTTTTGAAACACCTCAACCGTTTTCTCTTCAGATGTTGTTCTGCCCTGTTTTCTCCCGTCTCGGTGTTCGAAGACACATGTTAGACCTTTGCCTTTTGTCCCATGTCTGTCTTGTCTGTCTGTCTGTGTTTCCCATCATTTTGTCTCCCCCCCCCGCCCCAGTTCTTCCGTTGTCTAGTCTACTGATTTTCTTTAGCTCTGTGCTGTTTTAGCCCATACAGCGCATTCTTAAATCACTGTTGTTCTCTTTCTTATAGTTACCATTTGTCTGCCAGGATTCTCCACATTGTCACTTAAATTACTATAATAGTTTTTCTGAAGTCTTGTTCAATAACTCCAATATTTGAATCTTCTGTGGTCTGTTTCTGATGTCTGCTTTTTTCCTCTGGGGTATTGGTTAAATATTATTTTCTTATATACTTGATTTTTGTTGTTGCTGTATTTCTCTGTCAGACATTGAAAAAAAATGTAACGATGACTTGAATCTCTGAATGGTGGTATCTTCCTCCAGAGAGGTTTTACTTTTTTATTTTACCTCTGGCAATAGCTAGGATAGAGACAGATGACTTCCGTCTGGGCGGACTTGACATGATTCTGAGTTGTCAGGTCTTGTGAGGGCTGGTTTATTTCTGATTTCCCCCTCTCTTCCCGTACGGAGCCTTGAGGATCTCAACCAAAAGCTTTAGGTCGTATTAGGGACCCTGTACTTTGGAAAGCTCTGAATTCATTTTTGTCTTTCCAGCCCCGTGAGACTGATAAAAGCTTCTCTCAGTCTCCCAACTGCAGCTTTTCCTTTTGGAATTGGCAGTCACCGGTAGAGAAAAAGCAGCCCTAAAGTGGGGGTCTCACCCCTTGGGTCCTCTCCTCTTGTCTCCACGAAGTCTCACCAGCCTGGTAGCTCTTCCCTGGCACCGCCGTACCTTCACACATGTAGGCCACATCTTCTCCAGCATTTGCTGCTTGTCCCTCGTGGGAGTGTTGCTCTAGAACAACACAGCCGTTGCCTGAAAGAGAGTCGGAGTTTGTGATCAGCGCCCTCACTCGGGGTGGAGCCTGTGACGACCTGCCGGAAGTGCAGCCACTAACAGTAATCGCCGTTTGGTGTTCTCAGTAGTTACCAGTCCCCTGCTCCCGTGCGGTATCTGCACATACGCTAAGTTCTCAGAAGTCGATATTAGGAAGAGGAGATTAAAGTAATATGAAAGTTCTTTATGTTGAAGCTTCTCTTTGAGAGAAAAAAACAAACGTACTGAGGTAGTGATTTAGTCAGTATAGGTGACAGCCCTTGCATTTGGTGCAGGTGGCAGTCGACATCTGTGCCTAACTGTATTCTTCCAAGGGAACACTCGCTAGGAAGGAGCCAAATCTACAGCTGCCCGAACTAGAAACTCTAGCTTTGAAATTATAAAATCATTACACATGTTAGACGGGGACCATTTCTAGAAGAAGTAAACTGTCCTCTGACCTCTTTGTGCGTGGCCTTGATATATCCGTGTCTTATGAGACTTGTCATTTTCCAAAGTAGGAATATTTACCCTTCAGTGCTTCAAACCCCAGCTGTCCTCTCTGATCTCGTGCCCAGTTATTCCTTTATATGGTCTGTCGGCCAGCCCAGGACATTTATTATCTTCTTGGAGCACCTGATACCTTCCTGGTGCCTTCCCTTCCTTGTTCTCTTCCCGTTGCGGGATGATGTGTCCATCCCATTGCAAGCCCGTGCGGCTTGTCTCTTCAGGTGCTTTTTGTGAAGTTGTGATAGGCTCTTAGACGTCACCTCCCTCCTTCACCAATTCTTCCAACCAGCGCTGTGTCATCTCTCTTCTGGGGCTCCTGTGTGGAGACCTCTGCTACTTTTCGGCTGTTCACGGGCAGTCTGTGTACTCTCCCGTCTCTTTTCCACATTGTCAGTTTCTTGGTGATGGAGCGCTTAGCTCGTCTTTGCGTTCTTTGTCAAGTGTGAAGGTCTGGTGCCTCTCTGAAGTGAGAACTCAGCTAATTAAAAATTGAATTACAGTGCAGAACTAAAGTGACTGCTAGATACATAGAATGATTATTTCGTTTTATGACTTGTATCTTTTACTTTCATTTGATACGTTCAGTATATTTATGTGGAGTTGCAGGACTCCCATGTTTACCTGTAACAGATATTAAATTGTTTGCCTTTTAATTTTCTGGTTTTTGTTTTGTTTGGGGATGTTTTTATTTCCTGCCCACATAGGTTTTATGTCTGTTTTATGGAAATGTTGGTATGTTGAAAATTCAGATGGTACAAAGGGTGTACAGTAGAGTCTCCTTGCTACACGGCAGTACTTATAGAGAGAGTTTCTTTTTTTTTAAAGATTTATTGTAGAGCACACGTGCCCGTGGGGGAGGGGCAGAGAGAGAGGGCGAGACTCTCAGGCAGACTTGCTGCAGAGCACAGGTCTCCATCTCACAACCCTGAAGTCATGACCTGAGCCAAAACTGAGAGTTGGGACACTCAGCCGACTGAGCCAGCCAGCCACCCCTTATATAACTGTTACGGAGTTAAGAAATCCCTAGAAGCTTCTCAGTGAGAAAAAGGTCTACAGTGATAGTATTGTTGTAATTAGGCTGAAGACTTGGTGCAACTGTGTGCAGAGTGCTGGCTGGCTGTCGGTTACTTTGCTGCAAGGCCACTTTGCAGGAGGGGAGGGTGAGAATAGACCGTCTTTGTTATCAGGGGACTGCCTGGTGGAAGAGACAAGTGTCTGGATAATTATTATGTAACAGTAAATACCATAGATGCTGCAGAAGTCATGAATGTCGTGATAGCACATTTTTAAAAAATAAAGTTGAAGTAAAGCTGAAAATTTAATGAAAGGACTAAATTAGTTTACTGGCTTATCTTTGCTGTGATAGTGTTTTGGGGGGAAGGGTTGGAAAAGTTTCTTAATTTTATCATTTCTGTAAGGCAATATAAACTTGTCAGCATCATGGCTCTAAACCATGACTGAGTGTGACATTCCACTTTTTAATGTACGCAAAAGGTACAGGGCGCCTGGGTGGCTCAGTTGGTTAAGCGACTGCCTTCGGCTCAGGTCATGATCCTGGAGTCCCAGGATCGAGTCCCGCATCGGGCTTCCTGC